CATTTTGTTTCCGGAGCATAACTCAAAGACCGTTCGATATTTTTCAACAAAAAATGGTACATGTGTCAAACATAATCTAAGGTGGTGCCTTTTGCTATTTACAGATTATTGTAATTTTTATTTTTCTCGGTTTCCATGGAAACGTTTTGGACTTAGTCTTAAAGAGGGATGGGCTTCGTTTCCGGAGCATAACTCAAGAACCGTTCAATATTTTTCAACAAGACTTGGTAGATATATCAAACAGAACCTTAAGTGGTGCATTTTGCTATTTGCAGATTTTTGTCATTTTTTTTTTTCCCGGTTTCCATGGAAACAAATGGAACTTAGTCTCAAAAGTGAGGGGTGGGCTTCGTTTCCGGAGCACAACTCAAGAACCGTTAAATATTTTTCAACAAAACTTGGTAGATATATCAAACAGAACCTTAAGTGGTGCCTTTTGCTATTTACAGATTTTTGTCATTTTTATTTTTCCCCGATTTCCATGGAAACAATTCGGACTTAGTCTCAAAAGGGAGGGGTAGGTTTCGTTTCCGGAGCACAACTCAAAAACTTCTTAATATCTTTCAGCAAAACTTGGCAGATATGTGAGGCAGATCTTGAAGTGGTGCCTTTTGCTATTTACAGATTTTTGTCTTTTTTATTTTTCTAGGTTTCCATGGAAACGATTTAGACTTAGTCTCAAAAGGGAGGGGTGGGTTTCGTTTCAAAAACTTCTTTATATCTTTCAGTAAAACTTGGCAGCTATGTGAGTCAGATCTTGAAGTGGTGCCTTTTGCTATTTGCAGATTTTTGTCATTTATGTTTTTCATCATTTCCATGGAAACGATTTGCACTTAGTGTAAAATCAAGCTGGACTTTAAGTAACTGTCCGATGATTTGTTCTTTCAAAGATGTGGGGGCCGGGGGGATATGTCATCTTCTGATGACTCTTGTTGAGAATGTCCATCAATTTGTACCTAATGAGGTTCGACCTATTGCCTCATTGATGAATACAACCTGGGCACAATGTACCCACCCTACATGTCAGTACAGAACACATTTACGTTTCTGCAAGCCAGTTCGTGGTGTTTGTCGACATTTTGAGGTTTGGTGCCCGTCAAACCAGCCAATCATATGATCGAACTTGTGTGACGTAGCTTTCTGGGTCACTTGTGTTGACAGTGAGAGGGCGGGCATGCCGCGATTGTGAAAAGCATTAAAAATACCTGGATTTTGGAAATGTTTGACATAAATAAACAAGTTTAAAGATAAGAGATTTGAAAATAAGATTATATTAATATAACTTTGAAAATGCAGCGACAGTTCTTAAGTGATCGAACTTACATGACACAAGGGTATATCATGTATTACGTTTATTCACACCAGTTATTATTAATACCATTGGGGACTGATTGCTGACTGGGTCTCAAAACATTATCCCACAGCAGAAACTGTTTTGGTCCCCCCAAAAGAGTAAGTACCCGCTATGCTAAGGGTAGCCCTGGGACACATACATAGAGAATACTACACGAGGTCTCATTACATACGAATTATACGAAACGAGTGTCCTTCCTATGGTATCTGACCGAGCGAAAGCGAGGTGAGATAACATAGGAAGGTCACGAGTTTCGTATAATTCGTATGTAATGAGACCGAGCGTGGTATTTTATTTATTACCCACGTCTTACATGCATTAAATTGACAAAATAGCGTATTTTTGTTATGTTTTGGGTTTCAAACTGATACCGGTTTCATAAAGAGGTTTTGTACTGTAGTACAATATTTTCATGACGTCACACTGTAATGACGTCACTGCCATGGTAACCGACGTACGATGCATGTCTGTTGTCATCGCCTCGTACAGCCTCCAACAGTAAACTACTCCGTAGCACCTCGTTTCTTGGCTTCCAGTTGCTTCATTCGGCTAACACCACTGGTGGAAACATTGCGTTTATGTTTTTTGTTTAATATGATTCAGTTCGACTCACAATTAAACAGCCACAAGGCAACGTTCGCAATGTTTACATTCCCACAATGCTTTTAAGTTGTAAAATGAATGAATTCACGTGTTTGTTATGAATGAAAAAATAAATACATCAGAATGTGACCTAACTGAGAGGTCATCGGTTTTCCAATCAAATCGTTAGAATCTCAGGTCAAGTCGTTACGACACAGGTCAACACGATACGACACTCGTGTGACGTACGAGATAAGTATGCAACTACCAATACCTTGACCTCGTGGGTAATAAAGCATGTTACCACTTAGCCCAAGAGTCATTGGCAATCAGCCCCCCCTAATTGCCCAATCTTGTATTGCAATCAAAAATGTTTCATGTATTCTTTGTCATGGCTTTATTTGTATAAATCCTTATCATCCCTGTGGTTTGGTCAGTGCTCCAACATTTCTCTGTACGTAACAGAGACCAGTATCAGAATCAGTGTTTGCTATGAATGTTGTATTCATCATTTTTTCCATGATTTCAAAACCTTGCCAAAAACGGTAGAGTCTGATGTCAAACTGGACCTTGTTAGCCAATCCATATGGTGTCTGAGTGTTCAAGTGCACAGACGAATAAAGTTTCACTTGATCAGAACCAGAGATCACTTCTTTGTGTTTTGTCTCACCTTTACCAGCAGCCTTCAGCTCGAGCATTGCTGTTTTAAAAGACTCGTTGACATTGTTGAATCGATCATCCTTTATTATGTCAAAGTCTCTATTATATGGCGGAGATTTCAAGTATCTGTTGAGACTGTGCCGAATAGTCTCCAAAATTGATGTCTTGTATTGGTCACTGGTTTGAGTTCTGATATGTAGAAATGACTAAGCATCTCGGCTTAAGCCATGGCATCCAATATTTCCAAATTTATGCATGTTCCTTTTCTGCCACATATTGTTTAAAAAGTTTTCCTGACTCATTATTTGCTTTCTTGATGTTTTCTGTGATTAGTTTGGAACTTTTGGCTGATATGTCTTCTTCTGAATGCGAAGCAAAGCATTTGGTGGCCATTGTTTCCAGGTAACCTACAGCAGACGCTTATTTTTTACTTCTTAACTCATAACTGTATAAACCTATGTTTCCCTTAACTGATGCGAACCCTATAACCCAGTGAGAAGTAATCTCATACCCGAGTTAGGCAAATACACTGCTGTCAGGGCATATATTTTCCAGTTATACAGATTTTTGTAAAATCTGCATTGTCCAATCAGATTACAGTGTTTACATGAAAGGTAAGATAATAGCATTTATTAATGTGCATGACTTGTGCAACCGCTGCAGCGGATTGTCCACGATAGCACTTTGCTGATTGTGACTTGTAGCATACTTGTTTTTTATCCTTACGGCATATAATGCGGGGGGATATAGTCAACACCTTCCATCTGTCTGTCCATCCATCTGTAAATAACAGAAACGGAAACTAAAATGGTGCCTATTGCTATTTACACATTTTTGGCATTTTTATTTTTCTCGATTTCCATGGAAATAATTTGGTCTTAGTCTCAAAAGGGAGAGGTGGGCTTCATTCCTGGAGTGTAACACATGAACTGGTCAATATGTATCAACAAAACATGGCATATATTATATTTTTCAGTCTTGCCATGTTTGATAATCCATCCACTGATGGCTTGTTGTCAGTTGTATTCCTCTCCTTATCATTACCTACCCAAACCACTGTGATAGTCGTTGATGGTCATAAAGAAGTGAGAAAGCATTTGCAGACTTGTCTCCCTTTGTGTCCCAGATCATATTGCAGACCAGGTATGCATGATTTAAGAGCTTGCTGTGTTTCCACTACAACAATGGTCACCATGGCAACAGATAGTTTGTGTTTGGATGAAGTGTATTTTTTAATGTAAAATGACAATATTTTAGCGATTGGAATGCAAGACAAGGGCTGTTGATGTGAGAATTACTGTGGTAAAACATATCCATGCACATACTGTGTTATGTCAGCCTTCATTGCAGTCAGCACAAAATAAAGAAACTGTGTTGCATGGGTGGCATCTGTCTTGACTTGCTGCAGTACCTACCAATGCCTAGTTTGACACAAGTGATTAGAAATCTTGACAAGAATAATGACAACTCACTTGATGTCCATTATGCAATTTCTAGTGTTTGAATGACATATTGCTACTGGCATATAGACAGACAGACAGACAGACAGACAGACAGAGTTTATTTCCAGTAAAAGGCTGTAGGCCCAAAATACATTCAAAAGGAAATTCCAGTGTAGTCAGGGGCACAATGATCATTCAAGTGTGTTTGTAATAATCCTTTTAGCATAAAATAGATACAAGGCAACAGATTTTATAGTGTCTACATTAGTATTCTTGAAAAGATTTGCTAAAGAATATACAGTATAAGGTTTTTTAACACATTTTGTAATAAACCTCTCTCTTAGTTAATTTTTATTGTACAAAGTGAATTACCCCCCTAAAATTTATGTACAAATAAGTGACCCCCCTGCATGTCATGTACAAAATCAATGAACCCCCCTTCCCTACCCATAATTTCTAAGCATAATTTTAAACATATTTCTATGAACAAAATTGATGACCCCCACACACACACACACACACACACACACACCAGTACGTTTGTACAAAATTGATGACCCCCCTAGCTCGCCAGAACAAAATGGGTGACCCCCCTTAAAATCATCATTTTCTTCCCTTGATTTGCAGTAACCCATGCTTGTCGGAAGAGGCGACAAACGGGATCACGTGGTCAGGCTATCTGACTTGGTAGACACATGCCATCATATCCCAATTGCGTTGATCGATGCTCGTGCTGGATTGTCTGGTACAGATTTGATTATTTACAGACTGCAGCCATATAGCTGGAATATTGCTGAGTGTGGCTTAAAACTAAACACACTCACTCACCTTTATCAAATACTACAATGTTAAATGTCAATTGCATGTATGTCTTGTTCCTCTAAGCAACCATTCTTGAACATATTAGCGTTTGCATTTTCTTAGTTTGATTGTTAATAAATGTTCCTTAAATTTTGTTTTAGATTCACCTGTGTGCATTGAAAGTGCAGTCAGAGATAGAAGACATGAGGAGTGGAGAGATTGACTACAGGTAGGGCCAGTGTAGTCGAGCAGCATTTAATGTTGTTATCTCACACCCAAACAAACCATTAAATATTTCTTTGTGAGACTATAGGAAACCATTCACACATGAGATAAACTGGTGTCTTTTTATTATTATTCAGGAAATGAAGAAATTTGATGTGAGTTTCCAAGGTTCTTGAGCACATTCCCTTATGAAAGTCACATTTAAGTGATGGAAATAGTGCTTTATTTGTGTCCCATGGCACAGTATATAGTGAAATGGGACACAGGAAATATTTCTCAATGCCATGGCGGCACACCTTAAATTATACAAATAATATTCAACAGGATTCCTTTAATGGGAAGTGCGATAAATTTAACTCATTCAATTTATTCAAAACCTGTGTTTTTTGCACCCCATCAAACTAATTATTGATGGCAATCTCAGTGTCATAGTTTAACATGGGCGGAGCAATTTTGAATATTAGTGCACATGATAGGAAATCCTGTTCTGGATAACATAGTTTCTGGGTTAGATTATTGAACCAGGACAAATGAAGCATAACTATTCTTGCAGTCTTATAGGATTCAGGAAATCATGCACTCCAGTTTAATTGATTAACTCATTAAGGCCGAGAGCCGCATATATGACGCAATTAATCAGCTCCTCACAGCGAGTGACGTGTTTATGGGGCAGGTAATTGGCAGTTTCTCACAGCGAGAGCCACATATATTCGTCAACAGATAGCACCTCTTATTCAGTGAGAGACGCACATGTGTGTTGTACTTTTAGAAATCGAACTGTACCTATTATTTCAACCAATTTAGTAGTACTGAGCAAATATTAGCTTTTCTTACGAGAGATGCTACCTTTAGTGTCAATCAGAAGAAGTATTTAAAGTGTTTTGATAGCAATTGCTAATCATCACCATAGAAAGGGGATTATGATGTTTTTACAGAGGTAAGTGTCTGGTACTCTTCATTGGGAATTGATACTAAAATACTTCGTATGCACATTGATTGATTTAGATGTAATGGTTTAGAGGTTACTGAAGATTATATTTTCTTCAACTTCTTAATAAATAGGAAACAATATACGAAATTTCAAGGACATACAAAGAATTCAAACACAATAGAATAGTTTGAATTGACTTTTTAGGTATTATTATGTATGTAATGAAACATAATGTATAAACACAAATAATTATACATCCAAGCTCGAATAGATTAGACATAAATTAACTTACTAATTTGAAGCTTACTAAATTGTAACTAGTTATTTTCCATAATCTAAAGTTGATAATGTTACCTAATCGAGTATAAAGTGATAAGTCGCGCCTTTGCATTGAATATATATATGTCAGTGTTATTACAACAATGAAATATTTTACTACGTTTGTTACAAAACACAGTAAGTTGGTAATTCAAAACTTTCTCACACATAGACAGAAGTAATATCATAAGTTATTACATGTAAATCATACAAAGGTATTTCAAGCATTTTTGTTCAAGCTTTTGAAAGTTTCATTTGATTTGAATTGTCAGTTTTCTATGCAATTTACATGAGCATTGTGTAAAACATTTGTATTTGATCTCTGTTATTATCAAATCCGGTGTAATTATCACGTGTATCAATGAACTCAGTCTCTATTGATCCATCGTCAATAAAAGCTGGATAGCATATCAGCTACGGTATCGATACACATGCGTATAATCATTCAATCAGATTACAGTAATGAGATAATTGAACACGTCTTGCGACCTTGAAATAACAGCCTCCGGTAGAATGCATATGTAGTTACGTCCTTGTTGAAAGGTTTGTCCAGTGACAGGTGTAAATTAACAGGTGCACTGTTATATCATTGGACAACTTGCTTTATGGAGTCACGCCCCTCTTTCTAATGTTTATGCATGCATGCACATCTGTAATCTTATGAACCTCGTTTGCATTCAGTATACACAAGAAAAAAAATGGTGAATTCCCAAAATTTCCAATTTGGAAATATCATATTTCCAAAAATTTCCAAAATTGGAAAGATGATGTTTCCAAGGCTTGGAATTTTTTTGGAAATTTAGGAAGGATTTTACCACTACTTCTTTCAATTTCTCTTTTTTCCCAAGGATCCCTGGCCCATGAGTGTATAGACTGAACTATTTCACGAATCTTTTGATCTGTTAGAGTTCTTATTGTTGAAATACATAATGTATCTTGCATGTGACATATTTATTCATGAAAACTGCAGGAATAAGCCATATTTTCATATTATCCCTTTGTGCTTGATATCAATGCAACTGCGTCTCACGCGTGAAATGAAGATACATTTTTTAAAGTTGGGATTATGTTTAGAGTAAGTGTTTACTATTCGGCGTCCTATGCGACCAACTAGGAACCAATTCTATATATTAGTTTAACTTCACTCATCTGCATTCTTCTTGTTCTATGTGTCAACAATTGATATTGACTGTTCTATTTAGTATGTTTTAGTTGTTATCCACAAAAGTGCAAATATGTTTAATTTTCCCCCCATTCTCAATATTCGTATGAATACAAATTCCATACACCTACGCTATATGGAATATATAACAGTGTACCAGATATACTGACTGACTGAGTGTATTACATGCCATAAAAGTGAACCCGTGCCATGGCGTAATGGGGTATTCCCGTGAAGTAGGATTTTGTTATTACAGTATAATCTCGTTCATGTTGCGTCGGTGTTGTTATACGGGATTAAGACACTGGGTGCTATAAAATTCTGAACTTGTTTTGAAATATGATCGAATTTACTGAGTTAATTTACTGAGTTTAGCTCACTGAGATTATAATGATACTGATTCATGTGTTCACTCAACGTCTACGGGGATGATAACGTTCTACGTCTCGCCAAAGTTATTGATTAATCTACTAATCTACTAATATCTAACAAAGTGCTAGAGTTTTGGGTGACCTTCGAGGGTCAGTAATAAGTTGAAATAGGTCATACATGATTTGAAAATTATGTATCTTATTATTACTTGGGGTGTTGGCATGGCAGATTTAAGAAGATCGTTGAAAAGGCCCTCCAAATGATAGTTGAGATATATTTCACATGATATGTTTCATCTTGTGATGATTAATTGTGGCAACACCAAATATATTATGTCATGAAAATGTCAAATATCACTTTAGGCTTATTTCATTTCTTTACCCCTTCAACTTTTCGTATCAACCTTGTGCCTGTTAAAACATTAACTGGCCTTTGTTCGAGATCACCAGGTCTTGGAGGTAATCACCCTATGTTTTTACAATTCTGCTTCATGGGAACTAACCGTAGTAGAATACATTCTCCAATTAACACCTGTCACAAGGGAGAGGCCATTTGAGTTTGTGCTCAATAACGGTGTTATGCAATTGGCGTATTCACGAAAATCTCATGAACTTGTCAATAGAAAATTGGTTGTGTTGTCCAACATGCGGATTGAAGCAAATACTCAAATGAATTCCCTTTCTACTGAATCATACTGTATCTAGATTAATTTAATCATTTACAAGAAGTACGATCATTATAGATCAAGAGAAATCAGCCCACAAGCTCACAGATGATTCCAGAGACAAATATACATTTGAAAGATTCCAGTTTAGACAAGACATTAATTTCATAATAAGCCAGCCAATAGACTTTATGTTAATATCCCAGTTACAGTTATTTTGAAGGGTCAAGGCTAGATGCTTGTGATTATCTATGTCTTGAATTATCACACCGCTCATTGTAAGGTCAGGTTGGATGCTTCTGTTAAGTTTTCTACTAAACTGTAAAATAGGTTTGTCGCTGTGGTGACAATTATATACGTTTGAAAATGTTAAAACCTGCAATGAGAACACAACGCCACGCCAATAGCAACTCCATGCTTGTTTGACAGGTATTCTTGTCGATGCATAGAGAAGGGTTCCCATATTCATTCTTGTATCATTATCGAGATAAAGGGTAGGTTAGACATTTGGGTCAAGGTAAAAATCGTTTGATGTTTGATGTTTTGACAATGGTGTTGTTTTAAGGGATTCTACAAGATGAAAAAACGTGTTCACTCAAGGAAAGAAATAAGACATGTATACCAGACTACCAGTATGAGATTGAATCCATGTTAGTGAGTTCACACGGTCACTTTGATTTATAAATTAGTTCACTTGATTCATAAGTTGTGAGTTATTCATTTTCTTGCAGAAACTTGCTATAAGAATTTTGGAAATGACAGTTTTCACCATTATTTCCACAAATTCAGTTATGGTAAATGCACAGTTAGACTAGAAGTTTCTTCCTACTTTTCGTGGTTGAAGATATCTATGTGTAAATGGTTACCGGTATATGTTCATTCTGAACAAAAGAGAAGGAGAGAATGGATCTCATGGAGATGCAGTCAGAAAGACTGCAGAGCAACAGTCTCAACATTAAACGACATAATGTCTACAATTCCTGGAGACCACAACCACGGACCAGTACACAACGAAGTCAAGGAAAATCAAATCTCAAATAGATTGTAACAAAAATAACGAATATTTTTTAAAAAGATGGTAAGAAGTATTCCTAACGTTATGTTAAAGGTCACATGCAACGTAAAACACAACTTTGCAGATTCTGATACCTTTCGGTATGGACTTAACGAAACAAATCATTAAAAATGCAAATTCAGCTTATAAAGTTGAAAAATAATGCGATGAAAAAAAACCCGCGAAATCGGAGTTCAAACGATTCACTAATTTTCCCCCAGCGCTTGGGGGAAAAGTGGTTTCAACAGCTGGGCTGCACTCATAGCACATACGCAGTGAAATAGGTTCGCGCAGCGTGTTGTCCGGTGAATATACGTTGATGGCTTTGGTGTGAGCTAATTTTTTTTAATGTTTTGTTGATATTTCACAGGCGCGAGCTTTTTATGTTATTACAGTAGATTACCGATTTAACTGTTAAAATAATTTCATTTGTCTATTTCACTACACGTTCTTCTTACCGAGTCACTTTCTCAGTTCGATACTTAAAAGCAATGTCATTATTT